ACTTTACTTATATCTAGTTACATAGCAGGAGATGCTAAGAAACCCCTTTACTGAATTGTGAAGATGCATAATGGGTCAGATGAAAAGGACCTAATGCACATTGGAACCAATGCATTTTGGTGTGCAATGCACATTCATGCACAATGAACATGTGCACAATGCTCATCACTGTGTGATGCACATCAGTGCACAATGCACATCAGTGCATGTTGTGCATCATGCCCATAATGATATGCGTTGTGCACTGATGTGCATACATTTAAATTGTGAACCACTTTGAGTCCCAATTTTGAGGAAAGCAGGATACAAGCAGCAACAACACAGCAATATTCATTGTGTATTGTTGCCCATGGGGTACTGATGTACACTGAGCACCAATGCACATCACATGCTGGTGTGCATCACTCATCAGAAATTTTGCTGGGTTTGCTACATAGTAACATAAAGCAGCCCTCTGTTGGATACAAATGTTACGCAACTGTGTAATTCTAATTCTCACAGACGTAAGCTCACTTATGGAGATATATGACCCCCAACAAAATTCTGTTGTCATTTTTTTTTTAGAAAGTATTTGTGCACTTTCACACTTTAAGACTCAAAGCTGACCACAAAATAACATTTCTAAGTAAAAAGAAATTACCTCGCCAATCTACCATTCTTATGATCTCTGCACTAAAAGCAAACATAGTTTACAAGAGTTATAAAATTAATGTCCACTCCTCTCTTCTCATCCAGAGGAACCATGCTGTTCATGAGGCATCAGATGCATTTCAGTGGCAGGTGCTTGCTTGTTTGCTTTGCTGCCAGGATTTTCAATTGAATACCACTGCTCTCATTGATCCTGAAAAAGTTGTTTGTTGTTTGGAAAGCTCAATGCATTATGTTGGGTCTTGTAACACTACAAAGCAATATCACAGGTGCATGAAGGCAGTACAGCAAAGGGAGGAGGAAAGGAGCCAATGTAGAAGCTGACAGATGATCATAGAAGCTTTCTTACATGATTTTCATGGGGCAGCTTGGTAGGTGATCTGAAAGAAATATTTTACAGCCCAGTTCTGGTGATTCTACAGGTGTATGCAAGGAGGGTCCATCACCAGGAACAAAGGAGGCTGCCTTTTTCTGAGTTAGAACAACAGCAGAAAGAACTGGCAACATCCAATAAACCAGATGTAAAAAAGGAGCTTATCACACTGACAAATAACCCAACTGCTCCCCAATGGGATATAGTTGGGTTTCAGGATGCAGGCAGGTATTATGGCACATAGGTCACCTCCGATTCTGCCAGGCAAGTGCGACCTGGCTGCATCCCGGGTCCCAGGTGCACATCGGAAGCCGCTTTTCGAAGACAGCAAGACCCCAGCTTTGAAAAGCAGCCTCCAAAGTGTGCCTGGGATCTGGGATGTAACCGAGTTGCACTCGCTGAGTGGGATTAATGGCAACTTGTGTGTGATAATACCTGTCTGCATACCACAACCCAACTATATCCCGTTGAGGAGCAGTCGGATTATTTGTTCATGTGATAAGCTTCAAAGAGACCGAGGCCGCATCTGTACTCCAGAAATAATCCAAGTTAACACCACTTTAGCTGCCATTGTTCACGGATGTAGAATCTTGGGATTTTAGTTTGTTGTGGCACCAGAGCTCACTGACAGAGAAGGCTAAATGTCTCACAATTCCCAGAATTCGATAGCATTGAGCCATGGCAGTCAAACTGGTGTCAAACTGGATTATTTCTGCAGTGCAAATACAGCCTATCTCTAGATATATTAAAATGTTGGTCATGTAGGCATTGAGACAAAGGGCAGTAAAATGTAAACTCCATAAGCAACAGTAAAGTAACATCTCTTGGTATCCAGAAAAATTGGGTTTTCCTGAAGTTAAAGAGTGCAAAGAGGCCCCACAACTGATTTAAAAGTTGAACTTTAACTGCTGAAGGTTTCTAGGAGAGACAATTCACCACTCTAAATCTAGAAAATGTGCTGACAGGGTAGTCTGGAGTGGACAAGGGTTGCAAAAACTTTTTAAGGGCCACATGTGGGCACAGGGCTAAACTTTGCCATCCTTGCATGTAGATCCCTGGCCCTCATCCCCAATGGCCATATACAGTCAGCCCTCTTTGAGTTTGGTGTGTGTGTGTGTGTGTGTGTGTGTGTGTTAACTGCCCTTAAATTGATCCTAACCCATGGCAACCCTATGAATGACTCCTAGAATTATAGAGTTGGAGGACACCACAAGGGCCATTCAACCCAACCCCCTGCCATGCAGGAACACAGAATCAAAGCAGTCCAGACAGATGGCCATCCAGCCTCTGTTTAAAAACCTCCAAAGAAGGATACTCCACCACTCTCTGAGGGAGTGTGTTCCACTGTCGAACAGCTCTTACTGTCAGGATGTTCCTCCTAATGTTTAGGTGGAATCTCTTTTTCCTGTAGCTTGAATCCATTGATCCATATCCTAGTCTGTGAAGCTGCAGAAAACAAGCTTGTTCCATCCTCATTATGACATTCCTTCAAATATGTAAACATGCCTATTATATCACAAATGAGTTTATGTAAGTGACACCTTTTTACTATGCCATTGTATATAATGGGACTTGAGCATCCACAGATTTTGGTATCCATGGGGGTCCTGGAACCAAACCCCAGCAGATATCAAAAGCTCACTGTATTTTTATCCATGCCATACTTAACAATTCTCTTCTTTTTCATGATACAAAGCAACATTCTAGAAAAGGAATAAATCCATAGTGGTTTACCAAGAATCTGGTGGATAGGCAAGTATAAGCCTCCTACACTTCTATCATCCAAAACTCACTGATAAAGTTACTTTATGTTTATTATACAACCCACATTCATGAAACCGTGTTTCACAGGCACACCACCTTCTGCTTCAGCACTACTCACAATAGACACCTACTACTTTCTTTAATGATCTCCTTTATGTCACAGACAAGGGCAAAAGAGCTGGATTCCACCCCCACCTCCCAGCCAACATGCTTCTAGACAGGATGAGGATTCCAGAATCCAGTCTGAACTATTTGTTATTGATGACATGCACATCTGAAACAACATGTTGTGAGAATTTATGATGATTCCCTCATCTATCACTTGTCATGGCATAGATGGTGACAATATGACACCTTAGGTATCTGTAGCAATGAATCTTGTCTGGAACAGAAAGGTTTCAAATGACTTCTCACACCTGCAGCTCGGTTGTTTCCAGGTTAAAATAGCTGTGATGTCTATATAAATCTTTTAATGCTATATTATCAGAGTTTCTTCAGAAAGAATTGGGGAATGATGCCTCTCTCACCATTCTTTTCAAAATAAGACTACCATAATTTTTTTGAGTTGCCTATTGTTCCTGTGATAGGTAAAGACTCTTCTGTTTTGATAGGCCTTTGGGGACTGATTGTATGAGGCCTGTCCCACTGAAATAGTGTGCTGTTTTTCTATTTATTGTTATTGTGGTGGTGTTTTATTTTTTTAAAAAATGGTTTATGTCTTTCACTAGTTTTAGGCCTTTTGATAGTTTAATAACCTTTTAACTTTTTTATTTGTTGAATTTTATGTTTTTAACTATTGTAAACTTAAGTCCAGAACTGGGAAAATGGTGGGATGATGATGATGATGATGATGATGATGATATAGTAGCAGCCTGTGCTTGAATCCCCAAGGTCAGTATAACTGCAGCATGTTCTGCAGAAACTGTATCTGTTGTCAGCACTGGACTAGGAATTGAAAGAATACGCAAAGATTTGAGGGGGGAAAATTAAAAGCGGGGTTTCTTGAGTGCCAGGTAACTCCAACATGGAGAATACTCCTGAAGCCTCTTTTTCATCCCCCATCCTCACACATCTTTGAATAGAGTCAAAGATTACTCCTACCACCCTAGCCCAGACTTGCCTTCCAACATGACTGTATAGTAGCTGGAAGGAGGGTGGGGACAGTAGAGCAAAGAACATCATTTCTGGCTATGTTCTTATAGCTGACACTATGATGATATCATCTTCCAGGACTTCCAGAGGCCTCTTGGGAGGTTCCTGGAGGAAGTCTACATCATGCACCAGCTATCAGAATATAGCCAGTGCTGATCCTCCTCAAACGGTATCCTCTTGCCCTCTTGAAGACTACTTATGGTACCCCAAGCAAAGATCAGCGAGATGGACAGAGTGAGGAATGAGTGGTACTACTTATGTAGTTGGAGGCAGCAATCCTCATCATTTGGCTACTTCCTGCCCACCTCCCACTAATCACTACACAGCCATACCTGGGGAGGGGGAAGCAGAGAGCCAAGTGCTCCTGCTCTGCCACTGCTCCTCATTTCAATAGAATATAAATGGTGGTGGTGGTAGTGGTGGTGATCCTCCTGGTTCATTCCCTTCTTCTTTCCCTCTGGCCATTACAATGGCTGTGCTGGGGAAAGGGGCAGGGGGCAGTTGAGCGAGGAGGGTCATCACTACTGCTGCCTATATGAGAAGAATATATTCAATGGTAGCAAAAATCCTCACTTAGCTGGTCTCTGACTCTCTCCCCTCTCCCCATGGCCATTGCAGTGGCCAGCAGGAGAGAAGTGAAGGCGGCAAGCATGAAGGATTGTTGCCACAGCAGTCTATGTTCTTTCCTAGGGAGCAGTGACAGTGATCCTTGAACAAGCTGTACCCTCCCCATCCTTCCATGAAAGACCATGTAGTGGCCAGTGGGAGACGGAGCAGCCAAATGAGGAGAATCAACACCACCACGTAGGCCAGAAGTACATAGTGGTGATCTTGCCCACTCACTGCCCACCCTCCCACCAGTTACTAAAGGGTCCTGACAGTAAACTGTTATAGAGCTGTTGTTGTTGCTGCTGTTGTTATTGTGTGCCTTCATGTCATTTTGAACATATGACAACCCTAAGGCAAAACTATTATTGGCAAGAATTGTTCAGAGAAGGTTTATCATTATTTTCCTCTGAGGCTGAAAGCATGTGGCTTGCCCAAATTCACCCAGTATTTTCATGGCCAATCAGGGATTTGAACCTTCCTATTCAGAGTCATAGTCCAACATACAAACCACTATGCCACACTGGCTCTCTTTAGAGTTATATTCCACTTTAACTGTCATGGAACATTCTTGCTACCCAGGATGTCTGGAGGGTAACTAAGTGCAACAAAGATCCAACTCTATCCATGTAGTTTCTCAGCATGATTCTAACTTACAAAATGAGAGTTCCAAGTTGTATGAAGACCTGCAGAAAGGGTGGACAACACTCAGGGCCAGTACAGACTGGGAAAAGAAAAAGTCACTTGGTAATGATGAAACTGACAAAATTTCATCAATATACCATAACAACTTCTAGGTGATAATTATTACTTTACAATACCCCCTTGTAAGTTAGTGTGGTGTGATAGGGATGATAGAGGATTTGGGTTAGAGCATACAGGAAATGTTTCACAGCAGCATTTCTGGGATTTCATCATCAAGTACAGCAGAAGCAAGAGGATCCAGGTGAGGTGTACAAAATGTCATAAAGGGCAGTAAATAGGTGACAGACTGAGGGGCCACCCCTGGGAGTGCCAGATCGGGGCTGCAGCAACCATGGCAGCAGTTTTTCTGCACCCCTTTGGTGCAGCATGTCTAAGCGCTGCACCAAGAGAGCGCCCTGATGCCACTCGCCATCTGTTTGGATGGGCAGCATGAGGACAACGTGGGGGCGGAGTCAGGGTGGCCAGTGTGCGGTCGCCACACCCTGACTCCACCCCCAGGCTGGCTCTTTTGGCCGGTCTGTACTGGCCCTGAGTGTTGTCCACCCTTTCTGCAAGTCTTCATGCAACTTGGAACTCTCATTTTGTAAGTTGAAATCATGCTGAGAAATTACATGGATAGAGTTGGATCTTTGTTGCACTGAGTCACCCTCCAGAAATACTGGGTAGCAAGAATGATGCTGGAGAGGTAGAACTAGCCTGCAAATCCTCCCTTCTCACATGTAACATATAGATGTTTTAAAACAGAAGTAAACAAATGTGGATAAGGCAGAGATCGTTCCCCCCATGTGTACTTGGTGTCTAGAACTGATGCAATATAACTTCCACTTCTAAGAATCAGCTGAAATAGGACCTGTTCCCATGTTTATTTTTTGGCTTGAAGGGTTATGGTAAAATGTGAAATAAAGGAATCAGATCACAGTTTGAGTGGATTATTTAAAAGTTTTTTTAAGGCCATTTTTCAGTCAAATTTCTTTTAACATTTTTGAGGGCATGTGTGGTGACAGACCCCTGTGGCTTCACATGTTGTATGGGCTACACTTTCCTCATTCCTGCTGTCTATCTATCTATCTATCTGAGAAATGCCTGTGTTTTTACTCAATGGTCATGTCAGAATATTGTGTTAAAAAAGGACTGGAGTACAGAGATGTTTTCAAAACATAAATAAATAAATAAATAAAACATTCTCACTGCCTTGCATAAGGTGATGGAGAAAAGCAGAAAAACTACCTCAACTGTTTCGAGTGGTTGTCTTTTCAGTTATAGATGAAAAGGTGAATCTAACTCAGAAGGCTTAGTTGCATTCCTGATGAGAAAAAAATCTACTAAGAACAAGTAAAAATCTCTAGTAAATGATGGTTAAAAGGGAAGATGAATATCTAGACAGTGTGAACAAGAAAGAAAATTTAAGTTGGATCAATGGAGTAATGGTATTAACTTAAGTGAAATGTCACCTAGATAGCACAGATCAGTTACCTTGATAGGAAAATCACTACCTTCTCACTACCATAAGCTCCTAGTTGTTGACTGCTACAGAAGTAGTCTAAGAGAACCAGATGACCTTATGATGGTACTACCCATGGACCTACAGAAATGAACCAGTATGGTTGCAAAAAATATGGAATATGTGGCTGATGGAAAAAACCTGCTAGCACAATGAAGTTTTGTAATGGATAAATGAGACCAGACACATTTCAAGAGGACTGGATACTTTTTATTAACTATGTAAATGACCACCCACCTTGATTTAAATCTCTGGACTCACACAACATCTTCTGGAAAAACACCTTACTAACAGACACAGTATCCTTGCTAATTACTGAAAGGACTTAATTAATGGACCCTACTGCACAGTAATTGTTGACCAGTTCCACATCCTTTAGCTTTGTTTTGTTCTGTTCTGTTTTTTTATTGTACTACACTGATGTTATGCAGTGTTACCTTGAATGGATTTTAAAATTTAATTAAAAATAAATGAGAAAAAAATGAAAAAGTATGAACAAATCTCAATAAACCTCATCAAGGATTATTTGCCTGCTTCTATGAAGAATCAGACCAGTTAATCTAGGCATTTATTGCTTCCAGAGATGGAAAGGAAGACTCAGCTGAAGGAGGAACCTGAAGGTTCATTACCTGGTAAGTCTCTGTGACCAAGGACTTGGTTATCATATAGGGCCAATGATCCCACAACAAGGTTGATGGAAGATTCCCAGTGGAGTAGGCCATAGCATTCTGCAGGAGGTGAGTTTCTATTTGAAATGTTGATTTCTGGTGTGCATGGCCTGTAATAACCAGTCTGATACTTATTTTTATTTTTAAGAGATAAGGTAGAGTCCAGGGGCTTGCAGACTGCCAAAAATAGTGCAAATTGAGTACACTTTTAGGGTTAGGGTTAGGGTTAGGGAATCATGGGGACTGTAGTTTATTATGACACCAGAGCTCTCTGACAAAGAAGGCTTAATGTCCCAGAAAAAAAATTCCCATGAATCCCTAGCACTAACCCTAACCCTAAAAGTGGACAATTTGCACTATTTCTGGCAGTCTGCAACCCCCCTCCATGTAAAAGAGTCTGCCAACACAAGATTTCAGTCAATGGAACAAGGAGGAGAGTCATTCCCCTTTCCTTATAGCAGCCTATCCAAATCTACTCTGAATCTGCTCTTTTGATGGGAATTTGGTGCTCTAGGGTAATACAAGGGGATGAGGAGTCACGGAAAATCATAATCTTCTCTGTTTTGCTGATGGAACTTATTAATCAATAATTGGATTCTGACACTTTACCCCTCATATTTTACACTAATGATCTCCATTGGCAATAGTTTGAAGTAAGAATTGATGTTTCCAGATGGAACATGGCTCTTGGCATCTGCACTGATATAATGGTGGGACAAGATTCTGCGCAGTTGCTGGGTGATTTTGATGCCATACTACTCTTTTCACAGAGTGTGAGGAAGTTACTGTTTGGACTATGAGATCCTGAATCATTCAGCCAGAATGCTCTGTGTTACCCAGAGGGAAAGTGTTGTGTGTAGGAATTGTGCTGTGCAGAAGTGGTCAATCTGACTTTCTCTTTCTCTCCTTGCATGACTTGTGGTGATCCATGGAAAATAGTGCCACCCTACAGAAGGCATTACTAATTGACAATATGAGGCAGTGCTTCTTGATATTCAGGGCTGGTAGCATGGAGATCCCAGTTCATCTCTCAGTATTACCTATAATGAGTATATAATACAGTAGGACACACTCCAAAAATGGTTGGATCCATCCACTTTTCTTTAGCCATACTGCTTTCTGCCATTGACAGGATCTGAAAAACTCACAAGATGATTGATGTTGTTGTTGTTAACCACCCTCATGTCAATTTTGACACATGGCGACCCTGTGAATGAGACATCTCGAAGACTCCCTGTCCTCCACTGTTCTGCTTAGTTCCTATAAAGTCATATCCATATAAATAATAATAATAATAAATTTTATTTATAACC